CACCCTGCCTCTCTGGTTGCCTAAATTTTAGCCCGATGTTGAGAATTTATTCTTAGTTTGAGTTTGACTGACCCTTTATGCTTCTCTATATCCCACGTGTAAATGAGGCCATCAGATATCTTTCCCTTCTGACTTACTTCGCCTAACATTATCCTCTCCAGTTCCATCTATGTTGCTGCAAATGGCAAAAGCTCATCCTCTTTTTTTTAATTGACGTTTAAAAAAAAGATTTATCTATCTATATAAGAACCGGGGTACAGGCCAGATGCGCGGGAGGGTAAGAGGATTCACCAGAGACAGAGTGGGGAACAGAACAGGCAGACTGACTGAAATACACTGCTGAGGGGAGCAGCGGGTGCGACAGGAGGTCTGCCGCACCATGTGGGACCCTTGCTGGCCAGCCGGGATAGAACCTGTGCTGCAGAGGCTGCGGACAGCTTCACAGAGCTTCACTCAACTGCCTGCGCCACCAGGGGAGACCCAAAAGCTCATCCTCTTTTATAGTGTAGTCTTCTATTGTATACATATATTCACATTTTTCTAATCCATTCCTGCCTTTGAGCATGCAAGCTGTTTCCATAACTTAGCTATTATAAATATTTATTTTTGACAATTGAACTGCAGTTAAAGTTCAAATATTTTACTCCTAACACTATGTTGGCATGAAATATGAATATGTAACAGTACAAATAATTCTCAAGAAATCAGATGTGTTTCCTAATTTATAATTACTTTTCTATGTATAAAATTCTTATTTTTTTAAAAGGTTTATTTATTTACGCATGTAAGAGCTGGGTTGTAGGCCAGAGGTGTGGGGGGTGAGAAGATTCACCAGAGACATAGTGGCGAGCAGAACAGGCAGACTAAAATACACTGAGGAGAGAAGCTGCATGCTGCAGTGGCTGCTGACGGCTTGACAGTACTGAGACTTAACACTTGTACCACCAGGGAGGCCCTAAAAATTCTTAGTCATTTTCAAACCCCAAGGAAGAACAAAGCAGCTCCCTAGAGGTTTTTTTAACCAATCATTTAAAAAAAAACAAAAAACAAACAGCATTCATTAGGCAAAAACTCAAGGTTATTGACATAGGAGACTGTCAGAATCTACCTGGGGCTTAAAAAGCATATTATTCCCAGGGCATACCTGGTGGCGCAAAGGGTTAAGATGCAACCTATGAAGCTATCTGCAGCCACTGTAGCAGGAGTTTGGTCCCCGGTCAGGGATATACCCTCATGGTGCAGCAGACCTCTCCTGACTCACCCGTCGCTCCCCTCAGCAGTGTACTTCACCCAATCCACCTGTTCTGTTCCCCACTCTCTTGTGAATCCTCTTACCCGCGCCCCCCCACATCCTTGGCCTGTACCCCAGTGCTTGTATGCATAAATAAATCTTTGGGGAAAAAAAAAAAAACACAATCTACTTTGGAAAGGTAATTAAAAAAAAAAAAAGCTTATTATTCCTGAGACTGGTTTCGCACTTTCCAAAACCAAACCTTTCAATTAGTTTGGGCATGCAGTTAAAATATTCTCCAACTTATTTCAAGGAAAATTATTTGCAGAGAGGTTTCTAGTCTTTCCACTGTCCTCTCTAGTGGGTGAGAAAAAGTGAATATAAGAAACAGGACAGGACTCTATTCTGCCAAAGGGAAGAGAGAAATAATTTGGATCCCATCCCCACTCATATAAATCTGCATATAACAGATACTTATAATAGGCACAAGAATCCTTTTTTGTCACTGCCATAGCCTAGATGATTTTAACAAAAGTAACTATAATCTAAAAGTTTCTCCATAACTTCAGACGTTAATCAATGCAGAGCAAGATGCTTTTTAAATTTTCATATGAAAATCACTGGAATTTATATAACTTCTATGCAATCAATGGTCAAAGTCAGTACATTGGCTTTACATTGAGTATTCACACTTGCAAATGTTTTCTCAGTCCTTTCTCTCACTTACCTCTGATGTCTCATTTTTTTCTTTTCAATTTGAATTTTCCTTTGAACTTGAGCTGCAGGAAAAAAAGTGACCCTACAAATATTTCAAGTACTGTCGTGGGTAGTTGGACAATCAGTCTGAGGCTAGATAGCATGTTAAATATTGAGCTAAAATCAACCCTTCAGTTTCTGATTTACTTATGTTGAAGAGCCTCTTTGAAAATTCCTAAATTAGTACAGATACAGATTCAGTTGTACAGTGGCCTCAGTTTGTTGGTGGAGGGAAAAAAATGAAGCTCACAAGATACTCATTCCATCAACATTGACACCAGAAGCAGAGTCCAGCATTTTCTTCCCGTGTAACATATGGAGAGAGCCGTCACATTATTCTTCTAAGACTAGATGACAGTACTGGAGGAAAACCTCAAGTGCTGGGGGGACTCTGGCTGTAAAGGGAGCAGTGAGGTTCAAACATATAAGAGTCGATGAAGGAGGAAAACCAAAAATACTCGTCAATTCCTCAGCCCCCATTCTCAAAGGCTAGTAAAAATCAAGGGCCAGTTTAATAAACTTTATCCTTTAGCTGTTTTGTAAAAAATAGTACGCCAAAAAGTCTGCAGGTGAGCCAAAATACCCCTGAAAAGAGGCATGTTACATACAGGTCTATCTAGAGTTCCTAATACTCTGAAAGCTACCATCCTAAGTCTTTTGGCAAACGAAACAGTCTGTTCAAGGCAAAAAATCTCTAGTGAATCTGTAATTTGCTCTTATTTCTATTTTTTTTTCTTTTGTGTTTAAAGGCATACCAGAAGTACAGGTTTCTTAGTCAAACCATTGAATACTGAACTGAACTTGGCCTACCAACTACCATAAAGTTGTCAATCCATCTTTAGTTGGCTAAAATTAAAACATGAATAAAAATAAGAAAGCAAAACTGTTAAGTAAAAGACAAAATCCAAATTTACTTTGAAAATTCTGATTTTATTTTCTGAATCAAAAGAAGTATGTTAAATTTAGAATGTTTAACTTTTCCATTATCTTTCAAAATACTTTCCAGATATTGTTGAGTGCTCAGAACTATGCAAGTTAACATCCAATACCACATTTTAAAGAAAAAAAGGTTTAAATGGAGGACCTTCTCAAGGCATTGGCAATTCTGATTTAAAAAGAAGAGAATCTTAATCATCACTGGAAGTTTAAGTGACAGTTGGTTTTCAAGAGCTAAAAACCAGATCTCATTTAAAACAGAAAAATTTTTAATTTCTCAGGGATTCATATCTGACAACTTCGATTAAGTAATACTTCCCCACCCCAACATTATTAAATGCTTTATTTAATCTTGAAATAGGAAAATTATAAAATGGAATTTTAAAGTTATGCTATATATAGATATTTATATATCTCAATACACCATGTTTGCTAGCAGATTATGAGATTAAAAACAAATTCTACATTCATGGGACAAATGACAAATGTTCTTTCATTGTTTTATTTAAAGAGTCTGACTACATTCTTTCTTTGTTTCTTCCCTCATATATTAAAAATCATGACCAAAGACCAGGAGTCAATCCATCTACCTGAAAGGAATAGGTAGTAGGTCCATGTGTGTCCTTTAACAAGTCTAGTGCTCAAATGGTGGGGGGATTTATAAGAACATGATTTAGACACTTTAGAATTCTCAGGTGACTCTGACATCCATGTTCCTAAAGCCTATGAGACGTCTTAATAGGCTATTCATGTGTACTGAAGCATGTCCAGCATGCAGGTAAATTTATTGGTTCAAATTGAGGTGAAACAGACAAAAGAAAAACCCAACTTAATATGAACAGAAGCTGTATAATTAAAATTAACCTTCGGCTGCTGCTTAGATTTTTAAGTTTTCTCACAATTTCTCCAATTTTAGTCACCCTCAAAAGGAAGCTGCTTTTTTCAAAGCCATCAGTAAAGAATATTTTGAAATGAAGAGAAAATATTTTTCCCCAGAATCCGCGTTTTGTACAGAATCTGCAATTGTACTTTCGTACAATTTCATAGTACTTTATTTTTCAAATTTAGCAAGAACTCACGTCTGAGCACTATTTGATAATTTCTCAGATACCATGCAATACCAGCAGGATTCATAAATAAGATCTTCTGACACAGGGAGGAAAGTCTGCTAACATTTACAAAATGCCAACAACTCTTTTTCAAGCATAAGATGGCTGAGATTTAGTAGGTGTTATGATCAATTTTTGGGTACAAATACAAATTTAAATCTTGATTTCTTGCCAACATTTTAAAGTCAAGTTTTACTCCATTTTCAGGTTTCAAATCAAAACAAAAAAAAAACTAATAGAAATTACCTAACTGGCAACAAGTCCCATATTTCAATATTATTTTTAAACCAACAATTATAACCTACTGCCAGTAATTATTCTATGTATTTACTTGTTTTTATTAAATAAGTACTGGCCAGTATATAAAAGAATCATTTGCAAGAATAGTACTTGGCACTGGGTTACCTTAATGCTTCTGATATAAATGGAAGCACTTAGAAAATACCAGCTCTTAAGCACTTTTTTAATCTGTAATTTGAATATCCAAAAGCATTTTGTAAATGTTACTTCTCCATTGATAGAGTCTAGGGAGTCTAGTCCCAGCTAGCCTGGTTGATTTTAAAAAAACAAATAAAACCCTAAGTCACATGATAATAGAATACTACACTTGCTTTTTATACCATATGGAAAAAGTTCCAGGCAGACCATAAGTAGAAGAAAATCTGCCAAATCAAAGTACTGTAAATAAAGTTCATCTTATGTACCCCAGAGCTTTTAGAAAAGCTCACAAATGAAAAAAATCAAAACCAAAAGACCACCCCCCTCCCCACACAAAAACCCACCCACAACACTTTAGTTCTGAGCCTAACATTGCCCTAAAATGTTAATATGAGAAGCTTTAAGGTACTTAAAAAGCTGTAGCAGTAACTGCTGAAAATGCCACACTACAGTAAAGGGCTCGCCCACCCATCCCTTATACCCTCACCCCAATAATATGTAAAAGCTTCTGTTAAGGTTTTTTTCCTTACGCTAGTAAAGGCATACCACCTAGTGTGCTAAAGACTAAAACTAGCAGCATTAGAGCAGTAAAGTGAAAATATGAAGCCTACAGGAACGATCTAAATGCCTATTTAGAAGAAACAACGCAGCAGACAGGACCCTTTGCCTTCTCATCCCGTTTGCAGGGAAGTGGTTGAATTACCCACTTATCCACGTTAACGAAAATTTAACAAAGCTTCCCTAAGACACCAGAAAAAAACCTGACCTTTCCAGTCAAAGGGCATAAAGAAGTCGCCTCCATGTTCAGGAGTTAAATGAGTTCAAAGATTGGCAATAAAGGAAAAAAGAAAGCACAGAGGTGTGATGAGACAAGCCTGGGAATTTATCGAACAGTCACACCAAGTTTCTCTAGCACACGGACACCCTTTTCTTGGTATTCTTGCCGGGTCATCCAAAAGTTGTCTTTGTCTTTCATGATATCGGCCAGAACTGCACCACCCAGAAATACCATGTGCTTTCTGCGGGGTGGGTCTTCAATGCGGATCTTAAATTTCTAAAGGGAAAAGAGGAGATAATAAAATGTTACAATGTGCAGAGGACTTTCGGGTGCCATGACTTTTTCATATATTCTCTTGTTGAGTTCTCACAAAAGTCCTGTGGTGTAAGCAAGACAGCCACCTTTGGTATCTGAGCTACAAGGACATTTTGTCATTTTGCACAAAGCTCAGAGCTAGAGCACACATTCATCACAGTGTGATCAGAACAGTTCTGATTCACATCTGTTGCTCCATCATTAACAGCAGCCTCTGTCACTCTCAAAAGTGTCCTGATCTGAATGATAAATTTCCTGATCTCTCTACTGAGCGCCTGAGAACCAGAGGCCTGACGATAGCAGGTGCTGTCAATCAAGCATTTGGATAAGAAGACTTCTACAATTCTTCAAGGTCTAACACTGCTATGATTCCGGGTCTGTGCAACGGAGGAAGGTTAAGCTCTTTTCTTAGAAGCAAAACTCACTTCCTTGTTGTCTCATAGTCAAATGAAATATTCTCAAAATAAGTCCAAATATGGTCAAAATAAATCATGGAGATATTAGAAAGAATGAACACAGTAAGCAAAATAAAATTAGAGAGTCCATAACCACTATTAATTCTCTAATAAGGGTACACCTCAATCTGGATGGTCAGTCAACTGAAAGAGAAACACTATGTGGCATAGTTTTATTTAGTGCCACAAATCCTGGAAAAAAAACTCAGAGTAACCTTGTCATTCTAAATTATTTGTCTTTATGTCACATAACAAACTATAGGGATCTGACAAAATGACATAGAAACATGCCAATTTTCTTATTACTCAATTCTCAGGTTATTCTACTATTTTAGTTACGCTAGTTACTTTTTTGCTCTTAGGCAAACCGGCAACTTTTGTAAAGGGCCAAACAAAATACTTGAGGATATGTAGGTGTCTCTAGCAACCACTTGATACATGGTGTAACTAGAAGACAGTCTCAGACAACAGGTGACATTATATAAAGAAAAATGGCCTGGCTATGTTCTAATAAAACTTTATTTGCAAAAACAGCCAATTTTTGGCACAGGGATGTAGTTTGCCCGGCTCTAAGGGAAGCCTGGCTGGTCCCTGAAGACACTGCTGCTCCTGCAGCTTTCTTAACTGGCTGCCATTTTCCCTCTCTCTAAAAGTACCTTCCTCATCTGGGGGTCTGGAGACAGAAATCTTGTTCCTCACTGCTGCTTTTTTCTCCCTCTTTCCGAAACTCCACAGCACCTCTGAAACTCATGCTATCAGACCATACCACCTAGAACTCCTCCTTGCTCAAGTCAGCTCTGATTTCCAAGCTACTTCATCTCATACAAAAGAGTACTAATGCTCCCTACTATTTCCTGATATTATCCTAAGATACTGTCCGCTCCCTCTCATGCCTCTTGGTAAGACATCAACTCAGATATTATTTTTTTACTTTACCCTCACCCCTCAAGCAACTGAATAAAACACCAGAGAAACTAAACATCCTGCTTTAATATAGCACTTACCTCAACTGAACCCCTTAATGCTGCTCAGCAATCCACACATTTCTCTCTTCCACTCTCCAGGACAAATCATTTGATGCCGTCTCCTCTATTTTAAGCGTCTAGCACCCCCACCCTGTTCTCAGAGCCTCAGTGGTCTTTCTATACCATCTTTGTTTTCCCCCTCCCCCTCATCAAGTTACCACATCCGATGATTCTTTAAAAACAAGTAAGATTCTGTAATTTCTTTGCTCAAAACCCTCTCAAGACCTTACATTTCACTTGGAGCAAAGTCAAACTCATTCCTGTGGCTAAATAAGACCTGCGTCCCTAATACCTCTGTCACCTCACCTCCTGGCTTCCTTTGCTCCAGTCAGCCAGCCACACCTGTATTCTTGTAACTACACAGGTCTGTTGTGTTTGCAGTTTCTGCCTTTCAGAAAATTCTTCCCCAGTTACCTGACTCACTTTCTCCTTCAATCCCTCACTTCTGCTCAAGTTACCTCATTAGAGAGGCTTTATCAGCTCACACTTTCTTTACTTTTCATCATAATGCTTATTACTACTGACATATTATTTATAGACTAAAACAGGGATTTTGTTTTGTTCATCACTGTTGTGTCCCTAGTCCTACAGCACTATCTGATACCCAAGAGTGCCAAAAATATTTGCTGAATAAATAAATGACTAAGCTATATGTGTAATTGAATAAAGTGAGACAAATGAGAGAGGTACTTAAGACAACACTGCTTCTTTTCATTTTCCTAATTTGTTAAATGTATTAGGTCCATTCAATTTAAGTCACATATATAAGCTGTAACATTACTGTCTATAATACATAGAGTCCTCTGTAGTTTGAAAATTCATTATCTAACAGTTGGTCTAAGTCAGAGATACAAAACTGAGATTAACTCAAAAGTAAATGATTCCTGGTTGAGTTCACAGTAAAAAAATCACTGCCAAAGATCTACCAGCTACTCTAACTTTTCTTTATACCTTATACACCCATAACTACCAATGAAAGTCTATGATTAAAGAGCTATGGTAGTTGATGGGGAATGCAAACAACTGGAGACATGATGTTTTACATCTGACTGGGGAGTTAAGATAATGCAAGAAAGAGCCAAAAAACTACTTAAATTTAGAAATATGAGATAGTTCAAGAACTGCCCCAAAGTCTAGTTGGAAAGCCAACAAGTAAGCTTAAAATACCCCAAGTGGGCATCTATCTCTGCATGGTATAGAAGGTTCTTCCAGGTACTCAGAGGCACACTGAATTCAGGTTGTTAGAGACGAACCAGACCTGCTGACCCTGGAACTAGCTGCCTCCGCCTACTGAATACAGAGCCAACCAGGCATTACAATCGTCCTGGGACAGCGCTTACCTTGAACCATTTACTCCTTCCTAGCTCTTCAAGGATGTGTTTTTTTTTTTTTTTTTTTTTTTTTTTTGCTACACTAGGCATTTATTTAGGAAGACTTCTTGCTCCCTCTGGTGGTAGTCAAGATTCATAAACTACCTTGCAGGGTTTTTAAAGTATGGTTACAGTTGAATTATTGTTACTTACAGAAAGTTTTTCCACATCTCCCTTTAAAACTCGTTCTAAATAAAGTTGTTTGAGTTCTCGTTCCAACCTTGATGGCAGACCAGGATACATAGTAGACCCTCCAGAAAGCACAATGTGCTTATAGAATTCAGATCTAAAAAAAACATAATAGGTATTCATGAGGTTTCAGATTAGGAAAAGTGTATCTCAGAGGTACTTAACTATTACTTGTGTCAATCTGACCGGCTGCTGGCAGAAGTAAAGAAAATTCAGTATGTAATCAGAGGATTGAATGCTATTACAATGTTAGATAACAAATCCTCTTTTCATATAAAAGTATTATAATTCAATGAAAGTACTTTTAAAGCACATGACACTTTCTTGCAAATGTAACCGATTGTTTTACCAACAACCAAGTTGTTTTTTTTTTTTAAATAGTCACTTTTTTTTTTTATTTTAAGATTTATTATTTATACAAGCACTGGGTACAGTCAGAAGTGCGGGAGGGCGAGAGAATTCACCAGAGCCAGAGCAGGGAGCAGAGCAGGCAGAAGGACCGAAGTACATGGCTGAGGGTAGCAGCCGGGGATCGAACTGGCGCTGCAGAGGCTGTGGGCAGCCTTGCAACCCAGCACTCAACCACTGCACCACCGGGGAGGCCCCAACAACCAAGTTTTTACATAACAAACCTCCAATACTTGTAATGAGTTACCAAAGGGCTTCCTGAAATCTACTGAGATGTGGATGTTTAATCAACCATATTCTACTTTGATTTGAGATCCTGCTTTTAATTTTCCATTTGCCTTTTGCAATTTTCCTCTTGTTCCTTTACCTTGAGCTGCCCACTGTTATTTTTGGTTAGATGTTTGCTCCTTATAGCAGACCTTTCTTTCTTAACATGCTGATAGCTATGATACTCAAATCTAAAATAATTGCGTATGTAGTAAAGTAATGAAATCTAAGTCTGAGGAACTCTTCTCATAGTATAGTTCAGAAGCTGAGTCACATCCATTTTTGGCCTTATTCAAGCTGCCTTCCAGACTTTCACAGACTTCCAGGTTCCAATGGCTCGGGCTACTGTAAATCTTGCTTCCAGAAAAGCAGTATTTCTGTATTTAATTGCAGAAGTTTGCATGAGTATAGCAAAAGCCAAGTAGTTCAAGTATGATTACATAAGCTATGTACCCATGGGCATTTATATATATGCTTTCAATACGCAGGCTACACAAAGCAAAATCTGAACTGTACTATTTTCAATGCCTGCTCTGTGGAGAGGGTACTGAACTTCAGTGCTTTAGGAATGTCAAACCTTTAATAACCACTAAAGGGCATGGACTTTTAAATGCACTTTTGCTATTAATGATTAGTAAACCAAGGGACAAAGCACCTACCTTATCCCTACTGTAAGATTCTACCACAAAGACCAGATTAGATTTTGTCAACTTCCATTAGATTTATAGATTGTGATAAGCCAACTGCTATTTTTTAAAATTTCCATTATTATCTCAGCCATTCCACCAAAATTAGTGGGTGTTTAATTCAGGGTTAAACAAATACGTAAGCAAACACTGCTTTACAGAAAGCTTCTGAGTGAATTCCCCAATAACCTGTATATAGAGGAGGGCGTTCTAAGATTCAAATTCTAGGGGCAACAAAAGAAAAGATTATGTAGCTTTTTATAGAACTAAATAAAAACAAATTTTTGTAGGGCCAAAAACATGTCAGAGACAAATGACAAAACAGGAGACAATGACTGCACAGATTATCACAGAAAGTTAAAGAATTTTCAGAAACTGCAGGGAAAAAAATGACAAAACTTCTATAGAATGAGGAAAAAACAAGAACAGATAGCTCACTAAAAATAAACAAAATGGACTGAAACATAAAAAAATATGATCAACTTAACTCTTAAGGCAAATGCAAATTACAACTATAAGAAGATATCTTTTTTCACTCTTCATCACACTGGCATGAAATTAAAAACAGTGAGATATTCACCTGACTGAGAACAAGCTGTGGGGACACCTAGACTGCTGGTGGAAATGTGGGTACAACTTCCACAGAGGGGAATTTAGCCATAACCAAACTACATGCATTCACCCTTGGGCCCAACAATTTCCCCTTCAGAAGTTTTTTTCAAAATACAGATGGCCAACAATATAAAAACACAGTGTGCATAAGGTTATTAATCACAGCATTTCTTTTCAGCATAAATACTGGAATCTACCTAAATAACCTAACATAAAAGATTTGTTAAATAAACTATGCTATGTACTAACAATGGAGTCCTATGCAACTGTAAAAAAGTACAAAGAAAATCCCCAGGAAATGAACAAAGGTTGTTTAGGCTACATAAAATGAAAATAGCAAAGTACAAAGTATTTATACTATGCTGTTTTTTGTGTAAAAGGAAATAAACAAAGCAAGGAGAAACCTGAAACCAAGAGACCATTTACCTATAGGAGGGAAACAAGGAGCAGGGAGAGTATCATCACTGGTAAGTATACTCTCTTGACTAAACTGTTTATACTTACTTGACTGTACTGTTAATGTTTGCCTACTCAGAAAACAAAATGAAAAGTGAGCTTGGATTATTCTCTGCCACAAAACAAAATGTGCTCAGAAAAAGATGGGGATATGTCAGAGAACAAGAGCCAAGAATTGAGTGTCCATTGAAAGGACTCTCAATGGCCAAATCAGGAACAATTCAAGCATCAAAATACCTAAATAGAGTAATAAATTATAATCCACTGAATAAAACTGAGTCCATACTAATAATAGACAAGCAAACAAAACAAGGGAGGAGGGAAAGCACTTTCAATGCTAGAATGCTGATTAGTAAGTACAGAAGGAATAACAATTATAAAAACAATTTTTGTGACTATCACAATAAAAATGGATTTAGTCAAGAATCATCAATAGATGGTAAAAGGGGGGAGGCAGTTTGATGATTTACATAGTTTCAGAGTATTTTCCTATAAGTTACTTATAAACTAGGAAAAGTAGAAAAATTACACAGTATAGAAAAGTAAAATGCTCTAAGAGCTTGACACTAAAATCAGCAGTACGACATCCCCTCTGGATGTGATACCTGAGGAAACATTACTTAGGGACTAGCCTAGCCGAAAATGCATAACCTGCATCGAATCATAAAAAAAACATTCAGAGCCTCCCTGGTGGTGCAGCAGGTTGAGCATCCCACTGTGAAGCTAGCTGTCTACAGCCGGCCAGGGAGAAACCCACATGGCAGGACAGACCTTTTCTGTCTCACCCACTGCTCCCTTCAGCAGTGTATTTCAGTCAGTCTGCCTGTTCTGTTCTCCACTCTGTCTCCGGTGACTCCTCTCACCCTCCTGCGCCTCTGACCTGTACCCCAGTTCTTGTATAAATAAATAAATCTTAAAAAAAAAAAAAATTCAAACCCAAATGAAAGACAAGAATTGTAAAAGACAAAAGATGACTAAGAGAGTTATACATTGTATGATCTTTTACTGGGGGTGAGAAAAACTGTATAGAGGACATCTTTGGGAGACTGAGTGGACAAAACTGAAATATGGATGGTAGATTCAAGTATATCAGTAATCAATTTCCTGAACTCAAATAGCTACTCTATGGGTACAGAATATCTTCATTCTCAGGAAATACAAACTATTAAGGAGTAGAGAGGACTAACGCATTCAACCAATTCTCAAATAACTCAAGGGGGGTTAAAAAAAAAAAAAGTATGATAAAGCAAGCAGGCAGAATGTTAAATTGAGAAACTGCATAATGAGTATACAGAAGTGCTCTATTACTCCATAATCTTCCTTTCAGTTTTAAATTATTTTCAAATGAAATTCTGGAAGGGGCTTCTGAGACAGTGATATATGGTGTTCAATATCCAGTGTCACCCTATCAAAAAATTATTTTGGCATGGGTGGTTCAGTGGTAGAATTTTTGCCTGCCAAAATTATTTTGCCTTATCTATTCAAAAACAAGATTAGATAATAGACAACTTGGTCACTCCATTTATACTCCATCTATTTAAGAGAGATAAATTTGAAAACACAATTTCTTCTACCTTGTGTCAATGTCAGCCGCCTGTATTGTGTTAAAAAGCAGCTCAGCCACACCCACTCCCTCCACGTTGATCAAATGAGGCTGAAATAGAGCTTCTGGTGCTTCGAATCTCTCCCCACCAACTTTGATAATGCGGCCATCTGGGAGCTAGAAACCAAGAATAACCAGGTATTAGAAAATTTTTACAATTTGCTAGTGTTCTTTAGGACTTGAGTACTTTTAAACACATCTGTTCTATAACCAAAATCACTATCAGTAATATAGATCTCCTAAAATATACTTAAAAAAAAAACCCGTAAAATAAAATACATTTAGATAATTGTTCTTGTTACCTCACACTATTCTGCTTAAAATTGGTATACGAAGACCCTAAATATCAGGAATTTCTAAAAGTCACCAGTGAATGAGAGCGTGGTGTTCCACTGGTATGTACAGCAAAACATTAACAAACAACAGTGATCAAACACTGCATTTGGATTTTGGTGGTGTCAATGCTACTCATCTTGGGGCCTCCCTGGTGGCGTAAGGGGTTAAGACACAACACTATGAAGCTATCTGCGGCACATGTTTGATCCCCGGCCAAGGAAGTGGCCCACATGGTGCAGCAGTCCTCTCCTGTCTCGCCTGTTGCTCCCCTCAGCAGTGTATTTCAGTCAAGCTGCCTGTCCTGTTCCCCACCCTTTCATCGCCCCCCATACCTCTGGCCTATATCCCAGTTCTTGTATGCATAAATCTTTAAAAAAAAGTTGTTCATCTTATCATTTTATGACTATTTTATCACATAGCATATAAACATATTAAATATTTAAATAATTTCTTTCCCCAAATATTTTGTGAAATTTTATTATTTTGCCATCAAAACACTTTATCATCTGTACTATTTCTGTCAAATTAATCCAAAAAATTTTATGACCAGAAAAGCTTAAGGAGGCAATTCTGTTGTAGCCTAATTAGTAGGTCTTACTACATTTTATACAATGGATAAATAGAATTTTAATTAAAGGAAGAATCAAACTGATCATGTATCATTATAACATGATCTTGTGCAGAACACTCTTATGTCACATCATGCTTATATTTAATTAAATGAGAAATGTTAAATAGAAAGTTAAACTGTCTTAAACTACCTCACGATTTCATTGGACTGACCTAAGTAACAAGCACACCTGTATATGCTGGCACATAGATGTTGATATGAGATAACAGAGTTAGTTTTATATTAACGTTTAAAGTTACATAATTAACAATACTTATATTTAGATTCCAATCCTGACTTTCCAATACAACAAAGTGCTACAAAACAAGTTCTTTGAAATGTTAACTCTGTTTTACTGTAACTGTCTACAGATGTATGTAAAGCAATCACATTTGTCGAAAACGCCAGTTTTTTAAATAAATGGTATCAAATCTCTAGCATAAATAAATAAAAGGATACCTATTAAAACAGTTACCCTTAAAAAACAGACAAAAGTCACCAGGTGAGTTTAAAAAACCTCACAAAATCACCTAAAACACAGGAAAAACTTCAAAAGATAGATGGTTATTAGCAAAACCTCTTTAGACCAGTCTCTCTGATGTTGGGGTTTCTCTCATTGCTTTGGCCACTGGCCAGGAGGGGTTCAAGGTTTTTACCAGCCTCGAGGAACTGTTAAGTCTGTATGGCTCCCATTTCTTTTTCTTTTTTGGTTCCGACTTCTTCATACCAAATCTTACTCTATCTTTTGTCTGAACTGGTACCTCTTTACTTACTAATCAGTATACTGTTTTTAATTTATACATATTTTTGTAAGCTACCTCAAGTTCTTTAAAAGGAAATAAATAAAAAATGTCTTACATTTCTAGTTCCCTCACCTTTTGCCTAATGCCATTTTCTACTAAATAAATCAAGTAGACAGAAAACTGAAAATCAAGAGACATTGTAGAGAAGGCTTTGGGAAAGAATCTTCAGGCAAACAAGGAGATCATTAACTTACTAAATAGATCTTATTAACTATTTGTATCAATAACTTCAAAAAATTAGACAAAAGAATTTATATAATTAGTATTTTTAAATGACCTTTACACATATTTGTGAATATGCAGCGCTTATATGGATCAACTGGTCTAAATATACTTGCTTTTATTGCTGTTTATTTCATTTTAGTAATAACTAGATCAAAGATGAGATATGGAAGTACTTTATATTGAAATGAATATAATAGACTTAAGAAAGCAATACATTAAAATCCAAGTAGAATCATCTCTCCTAGTGTAAGATATAATTAGATTCTAAGTCTCACTAGCATTAATTGTAAGGTCAAGTTAGCATTTGTTTTGAACATCATATTAAAAAAACATAAAGTCAGGGAAAGACTGCCACCTACTGAATTATTAAAACAATACTCCAGGATACCCCACGTATATTTCCTAGAACATTAGTCCTATCAAATACTGAAGAGTCCCAGTCTTTTAGGTAGAAAAAGAGGTATACAACATTCTCACAGTCAGGTACACTCTGAGAAGTCCTGCAGAAGCAAAACTGAGTCTCTAAGAGTTGTAACCATTATTTTAATTTTTGTGAAGTATCTATTAACATCTCAAAGAAACAACTCTCTATAAAACACATATTGAAAAGCACTATTCTAGATACTAGAATATAAAAATAATGTCTCTTATCTAATTATGTCCTAAAGTAGAGAAGCTACTTTATGATTTTTGCCCTATATTACATGATATGGTCCTAAAATAATTAAATAGAATCTTAATAGAGAAAGTCATCAATGGTCACACATACACATATCACAACAACCTAAAAGCAAAATAATGAACTCCAAGAAAATCTCCTTAAGTAGACACCAATCATATTGAGTCTACTTTAAAAGCATATATATTTTATTTCTGGAAATACTTACTGTGTAAGATTCAACTAATACTGTGGTTTCTAAGGCCAGTTTCTGCTCTTGCTCAATATTATAACCAACATAACACAGTTTTTCTTTAATCATGCGAACTGTTTCAAAATCAGCAGAATGGTTGAAGGCGTATCCCCGCAACAGAAGCAGCTAATACCAAGGGAAAAAAAAAAAACAGTGAGTTCACCGTAACTTATTTTTTAAGGTTTATTTATTTATTTATACAAGAACCGGGGTACAGTCAGAAGTGCGGGAGGGTGAGAGAATTCAGCAGAGCCAGAGCGGGGAGCAGAACTGGCAAACTGACGAAACACACTGCTGAGGGGAGCAGCGGGCGGCAGGAGAGGTCTGCCTGCCATGTGGGACCCTTGCCGGTGGCCGGGGATCGAACCGGTGCTGCAGAGGCTGCGGGCAGCTTCGGAGCCCAGGGCTCACCATAACTCTTAATGAGTTAAAGTCTGCATAAGTTATTGCTCATTATATGTGTCACATCATAACAAATGCAATGGAAATAAGACCCTAAGTTCTTACTGAATATTTAAGAAATGAGGATATTAGTTACCATAAAAGGATTTATATTTCAGTTTCACAGAAAGTGACAGAATTAAGTTCCTAAATAATAAACGAATAACAAAGCTAAAAAAAACAAAACACACAAAACAAGCTATTTTTAGAAGCACTACCTGAGTATTAATGTCTAGATAGTGTTGATTATCAAAGTCTATTAATAAAGTTCTCATCACAGCAGGAAAAAAGTTACAACTGAGTAATGATACATGTGATCTTTTCATAGTATATACAAATATTACATCATAATATGGTATATCACAACATTGTATGTCAATTTTATGTTTTTAAAAATCTATTAATATTATTTTAGTACTGAATTCCTATAATTGGCAATTTGCTTAATCAATGCCATATTCAGGAAATACCCCTAGGTCTTAGAAAAAGTTCTACCCCTAGCTTCCTTCTTTTTTTTTTTTTTTAAAAGATTTTATTTATTTATTTATACAAGCACTGGGTATAGTCAGAAGCGTGGGAGGGTGAGAGAATTCACCAGAGCTAGAGCAGAGAGCAGAGCAGGCAGACTGATGAAATACACTGCTGAGGGGAGCAGCGGGTGGCAGGAGAGGTCTGCGAGCCATGTGGGACCCTCACCCGGCGGCCGGGGATCGAACCAGTGCTGCAGAGGCTGCGGGCAGCTTTGCAACCCAGCACTCAACCGCTCGCCACCAGTGAAGCCCTACCCCTAGTTTCTAATATTATGCTGACACATATTAGATGGGAAATACCATTTGTTCGATAAGTCAACCCCTCTGACAGAAACAAAATAAATTTTGGCTTAGAATGAAAATAAAATTTTCATTAACTTAATCTTACTATTACTCTAAATGAGACTAAAAGAACCCAATGTCAAGGTGAAGACTTAATGCAACCCAATTTATTGCACAGCTGTTACCCTAGAATTGTTTTTCAATAGCTTCACCACTGACATTTTTGACCCTGTAACTTTTTCTTGTGGGAGAGGCCCTGTTCAGTATGGGATGTTCAGTAGCATTCCCACCAAAAAAGTCTCAGACACTGATGTCCTCTGGGGGGCAGCACTGTCTCTGATTGGGAGCCAAAGACCTGGACAGACTACATTAATTACAGGACTCTGATACAGACAATATTCTAAACATTTTTCGTATTAAAGAAATACACATGACTCCAAGTAGTGGCCTTAAAAGCTTTCTTCAGCAACTTTCTAAAGAAAATTATAACTAATTAAAAATCCAGAAGTAAACTTTAAAATAGTAAATGTTAGGGATAGAAAATTCTCTCACACTCCCCCAGAGAACAGCTGCATTTCTGCACTGACATTGCAGCTGGGACTGTCCTTTGTTTCAAGGACTAGATGAGACCTAGCAGGTATGCAAGGGGTAGTTCCAATCAGTCCATAGCAAAAAGCATGAAAAGGTATGCATAATTGAGAAGGATCCCTTGCCACCCAGAAAGGAAAAAACCCTACTGCTTTGATGGCCTTAGTACAGCTCTCTAGCTTTTCTGAGACTGCCTTCCTGTGCAGTGTACTTTTGCTTCCTAATAAACTCTGTTGTTGGGCCTCCCTGGTGGCGCAGGTGGTTGAGCACAGCACTGTGACGCTGTCAGCAGCCTCTGCAGTTTGGGTTTGATCCTGGCCGGCCAGGGAGCTACCCACATGGCACCGCAGACCTCTCCTGTCTTGCACACTGCTTCCCTCAGCAGTGTATTTCAGTCAGTCTGCCTGCTCTGTTCTGCACTCTGTCTCTGGTGAATGCTCTCACCCTCCTGCACATCTGGCCTGTACCCATCTAGAGAGGCACCAAAGACCCTCAGGTGTCTTGGTCCCCAACATAAACACTAAAAATGGATATATTCCATGAAAACTACTAGAAATTAGTTTGGCACTAGGCCCTGTTTTAAATTGATTATCATTAATTCTCTCACTCCATTTTATGCAAAAGGATAAAATAAGGCAATGCAATCAAGAGTATAGCTTTTTTTTTTTTTAAAAAAAACAACAGGTTAGTTCTTTCTCTCACCATGTTATTTTTTTTTTTTTAAGATTTATTTATTTATACAATAACCAGGGTACAGGCCAGATGCACGGGAGGGTGAGAGGATTCACCAGAGACAGAGCAGGGAACAGAACAGGCAGACTGACGAAGTACACTGCTGAGGGGAGCAGCGGGCACGGCAGGAGAGGTCTGCCACACCATGTGGGATTCTCGCTGGCAGGCCAGGATTGAACACACACTGCAGAGGCTGCAGACATCTTCACAGTGCAGTGCTCAACCGCCTGTGCCACCAGGGAGGCCCAAGAATATAGCTTATTAACATATACCTGCTCAAAGAAAAGTTTTATAGCAGAAAAGGCTGCCAAAATTATTAAAGGAAGTTTAGGGTCTCTTCCATCTTTAAAACATCTCTCTAACCTATTTCTCAGGAATAGCACATATATTTATTTAATGAAATTATGTGTTTTCATTATCTTGGAAATCATGTATGCAAATCTAATTGGTCCATTTCTCTGGTGGTGCAGAAGAAATGACAGAATCCTGAGATGATATATTCAATTTTGTGTTGTCAGTAAACGCCAACTACAAAATCTAATTTCTGTGATATTTTCTTATCCTTACCTTGATGAGATACCTGGTAATATCCCTCCCAGCAATATCCAGTCTCCTGGTAAGGTGAGGGAGAGAAAAGCCTTCATAAACTGGGCAAATATGAGTTACACCATCTCCAGAGTCCACCACTACTCCAGTCAATAAACCTGTATAAGAATCATGAAGTTTTAAATAAAGCAAAATCAGAAAAATCAAAACCAGCAAATTTCAGATATTAGTATAAAAGCCACACTAGAAACTTCAAATGGAATGGTTTATTATTTGCTCGTTCTGCAATTTATTTCTAATAAACTCAGTCCTCTCACCTATCTCTTGTGAGACTTTGAGGCTAATTATGTGCTAAACCCCAGAAGACGGGAAGAAAGAGATGCTGAACCTTAGGACTAAAAAATTAAACATGTTCTTAAAGCTCAATACAATTCATTTTTCTTTCCAATTCAATGTTGACCCCAGAGTTCACCTGACATTAAACTTTCTGTAGCATCATGAACAACTTACAAAAACCACTGGAAAAGCATTACACAAGTTAATAAATCAGCTGAAATAATCTAGCTCTTTATTATTTTTGTCATATCATATATTCAAAACTGCTGTTTTGGAGAAATGCCTGATGGTACTAGACAGCTAGAAATCTGAGAACAACTTATTTTGGCCAGCCACAGGATCATTTCAATTATTCACCCAAAACCAGAATGTCAATGTCAGGTAAACTTTATTGTCAAAGAACAGCAAAGAATTTGCCTTATCATATGTGCTATTTAAAAGCATATATGGGGCCTCCCCGGTGGCGCAGCGGTTGAGCACTGGGTTGCGAAGCTGCCTGCAGCCTCTGCAGCACCGGTTTGATCCCCGGCTGCTCCCCGGCCACCAGAGGAGGGTCCCGCATGGCGCGCAGACCTCTCCTGCCGCCCGCTGCTCCCCTCAGCAGTGTACTTAGGTCCCTCTGTCTGCTCTGCTCCCTGCTCTGGCTCTGGTGAATTCTCTCACCCTCCCGCGCTTCTGACTGTACCCAGTGCCTGTATAAATAATAAATAAATAAATCTTTTAAAAATAAATAAATAAATAAAAGTATATATGTATGTTAAAGTATATATGGCTGCAAAAGTTAGATTTCCACCTTTTCCACCAAAGTACATTCAGGGAAACTGAGCAAGCAAACTTTCTAACTCATATTTTCTAATAGAAAAAAAATTTTTTTAACCAAAATACGCAATATCTATACCTTACTTAAACCCTACTAATCATTTCCCCATCCCTAAACAGGCTTTCTCCCTTTCTTTTAGAACCATTAACTTGCATTCATTCTGGTATCTAATTGTAATGATTTGTCTTCGAATACATTTACTCCTAGTTTCTCCTTCTGAAGCTGGTATGTCTTTCCTTAAGTGATGCTATAAACCACGTAAGACTCATACATACTGGCTTTTAATGTTGCATTTTTTTAAACGAGACCTACTGCCAAAAAAAAAAAAAAAAAAAAAAAGAGGACTATATAACCTCATTAATTGAAAAATACTCTTAGTAATATCAAGTAGAGCAGCAATTCACATTTTAATTTCCAAGCTGTACTTCCTAGTGAACCTCCCTTGATTTTCTATCATTCCCACCAGTTTACATATTGGCCTTTCCCTATATATATATCTGACCTATCTCCAGTGCCACACCCTTTCATCACCGAACGAGCTATACTTTCACTTCACCCACTACAGATTCTTTTAAGGCCCCATCTAAATCTTACTTTTTCAGTGAAACCTTCTCTGACCATTCTAACCTCAAGCCTAGATTCCTTAATTCCAGTTATTCTTGTCAATCCTGTCTGTAACATGCAGTCAAACATAACTTCCTAAATCTTCCTAAATGGATGCCTTCTCTAATTCAAAAACCTTCCATGTATCTGAAAGCTTCTTCCTTCTTTAAAAAAATGTTTTAAACTAGTAGCACCAATCACCTTATTTATAAGGAGAATTTCACTCCACATTAGAGTTCTTTTTCTTTTAAAAGATTTATTTATGCATACAAGAACTGGGGAACAGGCCAGAGGTGTTAGGGGTGAGAGGATTCACTAGAGACAGAGTAGGGAAAAGAACAGGCAGACTGACTGAAGTACACTGCTGAGAGGAGCAGCGAGCGAGACAGGAGAGGTCTGCTGCGCCATGTGGGTCACCTCTCTGGCTGGTTGGAGATCGAACTCGTGCTGCAGAGGCTGTGGATAGCTTCACAGTGCTGTGCTTAACCCCATGCGCCACCAGGGAGGCCCCAGATTAGAGTTCTTGTGGTTAATATTATTGCACTATCATTTCTCAAACTTAAGAATTCAACAATTAAACAAAAGTAGCTAAATATCGGGAATTAAGAAGGTGTCATTCATCAGACAGAAATTTGTGAATACTGCTAGAAAAATCTCTCTTAAGGTCAATTTTATTCAAATATAATTCAAACAAAAACTCACTTCAGCAGAATAGACTCATCTCTAGTACCTAAATGGAACTATTATCCCAAGTTTCAAACTTAGATTGAACTGTTTAATACAGTTTTCCCAAAGTATTTTCTAAAATTATCTCTGAGGTTTCTTTCCTTTTTTTTTTTTTTTTTAAAGATTTATTTATTTATACAGAGCTGGGGTACAGGTGAGAGGCGCAGGAGGGTGAGAGAATTCACCAGAGACAGAGCAGGGAGCAGAACAGGCAGACGACTGAAAACACTGCTGAGGGGAGCAGTGGGTGAGACAGGAGAGGTCTGCCGTGCCATGTGAGATTCTTGCCGGCCCGCCGGGATCAAAGCCACGCTGCAGAGACTGCGGACAGCTTCACAGCACTGCGCTCAACCTGCTGTGCCACTGGGGAGGCCCTCTGAGGTTTATTTTTAATTGAAATAAAATTACCTAGATGCAGACAAGCACTCCTTCTTAAAGGAGTGATTTTTGATTCTTCCCTCAAAGGAAAAATTACTCACAGAGCTGTAATCCCCTTAATAGCAAGGAGACCATGTCTACCTTACTCACTGCTATATCCTTTGCACTTAAACAGGGTGTGCAATGCACAAGTTATACTTGGTGAGCAAATAAAGCTTCTTTAAAAATTTAATTCCCCCCCAAATTTAATTCTAAGTAGTACTAAAGACAGTTAAAAATAACAACTCAACAGATCTTTTTTCAAGATGATTTTTACTAATTCATATGTGAAATCACATGGATCAAGATAATATGAAAGTTTGTCTTCTAAGTACTATGTCTTTGACCCTGCCTATGTAGTAAGTTCTGGGACTAAGCCCAGTTGCTACATCCCTCAAAAATCTCTGACACACTGAATCAAAATATGTTTCTCTATCTTGTCCCTATTAGACTTGGAATCCCCTGAGTGCATCTTTACATTTCCAGTGCCTAACAACTCCAAGGCACATATTTAACAGCCCCATAAGTTCTCTCTACCTGTCCAAATTGTATTTCTGATAGAGAGGGTGCCTCCCTCTAATAATAAAAGTTAATAATAGCAGGACCAAGGAAACTCCCCTGGTGGCGCAGCGGTTGAGCGCTGGGCTGCGAAGCTGCCCGCAGCCTCTGCAGTACCGGTTCGATCCCCAGCCACTGGTGAGAGTCCCACATGGCACAGCAGACTTCTCCTGCAGCGCCTGCTGCTCCCCTCGAGGAGCAGTGTATTTCGTCTGTCTGCCTGCTCTGTTCCCTGCTCTGGCTCTGGTGAATTCTCTCACCCTCCCACGTTTCTGACTGTACCCAGTGCTTGTATAAATAAATAAATAAATCTTAAAAAAAAAAAAAAAATGAAATAATAGCAGGACCAAGAAAACACCTCAAAGTGAGTACGGCACTCACAAAAATCTGTCTTTTATGTATTTGACAATGATGTAAATAAGGAAAAACGAACTCTCTCTGTTATGTATGACCATCATGCTTCTTACACCAATATTTTTTGATCTCTGCATACCTTTTTAAAAAAGATTTATTTATTTATGCATACAAGATCTGGGGTACAGGCCAGAGGTGCGGGAAGGTAAGAGGATTCACCAGAGACAGAGTGGGGAGCAGAACAGGCAGACTGACTGAAAGTCACTGCTGAGGGGAGCTGCAGGTGAGTCAGGAGAAGTCTGCTGCGCCATGTGGGTTGCTCCCTGGACAACCAGGGATCGAACTTGTGCTGCAGAGGCTTCCGGATAACTTCAGAGTGCTGTGCTTAACGCCTTGCGCCACCAGGGACGCCCTCTGTGTTTTTTTTTTTTAACTTGAGACAATTCTGAGGAGAAATTCCATTTTCATTCTCAACTACATAAACAATTTTTACTTCAAAGTAGCCTCAAAGAAGAGACCCTCCCACTTAAAAAGTCTTTTTACCTGAAGTTTCCTTCTTTGTTTAAAAAATAAAAATGTATATCATAATTTGACAACTTTCAGCTTTATGACACTGAAAAATCAAATTATTTGGACATAAAATACACTTAGTGAATCTTTTTAAATTTAATGTTTCTAAAAGTTAAGCTTCACCTACCTTGAGCATACAAAGTCAGAACTGCCTGGATGGCTACATAGACGCCAGAAAACTGGTAAGTTTCAAACATTACCTGAGTATACAGAAAGAAAAAAATATACATTGGTATTTATAAAGTTATAAAATATTGACACAGTTTCTTCATAGAGTAGATTATTTGCCTAAAATATAATCAATAGGCCAAACATCTTTCCCGCTCTTCTTGCCCCTACTAAAGTCCTGCTGTCACAAAGCTTCAACTTGGGGGACAGGTTTTTGGATATACACTGTATCCCCCAAGAATTTCAGACAAGCTACAAAGCTTGTAGTATGTATGGGTGTTTTTAGTTAATAATTAAAGTGGGGGGGGGGAAGCTTTCTGCATGTGAACAAGCCTTTCTTAACTGATGTCTTATAAGGGAAATATCTTATTCAAAGACAATTATAGAAACTGCTTAACTACATTAGGTACTGACGCTCTAATCACTCTTCCACCACCTGGGCTCAGACTGTGATTTTACCTTCAACAATTAAAAAAAAAAATTAGTAGAGAGACATTAAAATTAATGTTGGTGATTCCTGATTGTTGGCAGATATGAAAACTGGTTAGCTACTAAGACTGCCTTTTGAATCTAGGTTGTGGATCACTGGAAGGAAGAAGAGTTCCCCTGGCCATAACTGTGCTTCATGTTTTATTGCTTGGATTAGTTCTGAACATCCTAAAGCATTTTTTCTGTCATCTATCATGAACACTCCTTGATTGGCTGGACCGACTACCACTCTAAATATCTACAAATTTAGAAATTTTACAACAATGAGAACTATATGGAATTAAAATTTACAAATCTGAAATGCATACTCCTCAAGCAACGAGATATTCTAACCAGTATTCTATCCCACCTCATCCATTACTCTCCCTCCACAGGGATGAAAATGGAAGAATGAGGCATTATTTGCAGTATTTGCATTATTTAACCTGAAAGTCTGCTTTTACTAAAAAGACCAGTAAAAAGTATTTGTAGCACTAAAACAACTTTCTGGATTAGCTTCAGGTAGGACACTATCAGTCATAGCCAAATTAACATTCACAGCAAACAAAATCTTAGAGGGCAGAGAGACCAATTTTTGTCATTTCTTGTAGATTAAAAAACACTCATGTCGCAGCCAAATTACTAGTATTTGAAAGAAGCATCCAGGCCTAATGTCATCTCCTTAACACTTTATTAGAAAGAAAACTTGTTTTCATTTTGACATCTTGTTACCTTCCTAAAGAGATTTCCTTGTATAGGAACCTTTTGGTTTAATGCAAAAAATATCTCTGCAGTCTGATTTTATAATGTGTGGCTAAAAATAAACAGCATTACAAATGACTACTTATCATTAAGTGGTTGTAAATCATTTAGGGAGTGTAACATACAGTAAAATATGAACTAAAACAACAAAGTTCACCTTTGTTTTAGTGGTGAAAGGAGAGAAAAAAGGTATATTAAAATATGAACCAAAAAAGAGTAAGAATTCTGTAACTAAAACCATGATCTTAAATTTTAAAAATACTTAATATCAAAACTGAGTCTTAATTCAGATTTTAAAATACTGACTTAATCTCTTCTACACCCCTTCCAAAACGTCCACGAACATCTAAACACAGTGACAGAGTAAAACAAAATAGTAATAACTGAAAAACTACCAAAACACACACCTTATGTTTCTACCACATATATAACAAAATGAAAGACAATCTTAAAAAACTACTTATTTAAACTGTTAAGAATATAGATTTCTTGCTTTCTGTAACTGTTTATTTCGTTAGCTTTTTCGATCTCCTTTTGTCAACTTCTGCAATATCCCTGGTCCTTGGCCTTACAACTATCTACTCTTACTTCTTTGTGTACCATATTTATTTATTTATTAAATGTAAGACTACCACTTTTTAAATAGAATTATTCCTTTACTGTAAGATTTTTATTTATTTTTGCATAGAAGAACTGGGGGGTAGATCAGATATATAGGGGGTGGGAGTATTCACCAGAGACAGAGCGGGGAGCAGAACAGGCAGATCTACTGAAATACATTGCAGAGGGGAGCAGCAGGCAAGAGGGGAGAGGTCTGCTGTGCCATATGTGGGTTAGCACCCTGCTTGGGGATCGAACTCAGGACACTCAGACCAATGTGGTGGTCTAGCTGAGACTTTAACCCCTAAGACACTAGGGATGTCCTGTGCCATATTATTTATATCCTGGTGATTCCCAGGTTTTATCTCCAGCCCCAGACTTTTCTCCTGAATTTCACCTAACCTATTTATATACTTGACATTTTTGCCTTAATATCTGATGAGGACCCTAAATCTAACATGTCTAAAAACTGAACTCCCAAATCCTGTCCCAGTCACCACAGTCTTTCCCCACTTCAGTTGACGGAAACCCCATCATCCAGCTGCTCAAATCAAAACCTTTGGCATTATCCCTATCTCCTCCCAAACCCCCATAACCTGTAACTAATGCATCAGGAAATTCTTTGGCCCACTCTTCAAAATAGGCCCACAACCTGGCTACTTCTCATTATTTCCACTGCTATTACCCCAATCTTAACCATCATTATCTTTTGCTTAATTGAGAAAAAGTGTCTAAACTAATCTATTTTTTCTCTTGCCTCTGTAAGATCTACCCTCAACAGAGCTGTCCAGAAAGTCTAAATCTGAGCATGTCTACTCCCCTTTTATTTCACTTATGGTAAAAATCTAATTCCCTTTAAGAGCTTACAAAGACTCTTAGATGATGTGACCATATTATTTTTCTGACCTCATCTCCTGTTGCTCTACCCCTCTTCACTTTTAGCCTCGAGCCACACTGGCTTCCTTGCTGCCTCTCTAACATGCCAAGTTTGTTCCCATCTTAAGATCTTTACACTCTATTCCCTTTGTCTGGGATGGTCATCCTTCATATACCCTGGCTAGCTCTCTTACTGTCTTTACTTAAACATCACATTCTCATGAAGGCCTATCACCACATGTATAAACGCAACCTTCCCTGCTTCCCATCGCCTCTAACCTGTTCTTTTTCGGCCCCTTTAAAATCTATTGTCTTCTAACTATTTAACTCACCTACCTGGAGGGAGAAGAGGGGCAGTTGGTTTCTCTGTTAGAATGTAAGCTCCATGGCAACAGGATTTTGTTTCGTTTACTGATAAATCTACTTAGAAATAATAACTAGCATATAGTTAGGGAATCATAAATAGGATCTGGGAGGAAAATAACTATTTTAGTCCCTTTATCCTTAACAACCAAGGTATAGTGAGACTGTTTGCTTTGTTACATGACAGAAACACCAATATAAATATCTCTCCAAAATCTTACCTCTACAATCTTCTCTCTGTTTTTAGTTGGATTCATAGGAGGTTCTGTGAGTAAGATTTTACAATTTCTGGTATCTATGTTTAGTTTCTCTGGTCCAAATGTATAGTCCCACAGGTGTTTCATGTCATCCCAATTTCGTACAATGCCATTTTCCATAGGGTAGTTAACTTCTAACATCGAGCGTAATTCACTTGCCTCATCACCAACCATAAGATCCTAGAAAATTATAATATCAAAGCTTTAGACCAGTCAATTTTTTGCTTAAAATATCTCCAGAAAATTATATTCCCATGATATTTTGGAAAACTTGGGAATAATTAATTTTAACCTTTTTGGCACTTTCAAATAAAGTTCTTCATTTCACGTTTTAAAACTCTTCTTTCAAGAACAGTCATTTGCAACGTTGTACCATGAATAATCAAGTTTTATGTATGTGGTTTAAATCAATAAATGGACCTTACCTTTAATACATGTTTCCAAAAGAAGAGCATTAGCACAAATAAACCCCACATTTTCATATTTTGGAGGGATTTGTATGAGATTTCATCTGTTTCTTTTGCTCAAATGTTCAAAAAATAAGGCCTGTGATATGTGAAATAGCACATCAGGGGGAAAAAACTTGAAGAAAAATGCTTAACACATACAGCACATTTCTTTGTACTAAATCAAAATAGGTGTAAATACTATAAAGCATAATGAAAGAAACAAAAAATGAAATGATCCCTTATAACACTGTAATAACACATTTGTGCACCACTTGTAAATTTCACAAACTTCTATTTACATATGCCTGAATTAGAACTGAAATTAAGTTTCTATATATCTCACACCTGAAGACTGAGAATTTGCAGATATAAAAAACTTATGACTCAAGAAAATAACTTTTTTTAAAAGTATCTCATGAGCATTATGTTCAATCTTAAAGTGTGATAATGAAAAACTATACTATCACACATGAAAAGAATACTCACAAGTGTTGTCTCCAATGAAAGCATACTTAGCACGACCCACATTTGAGAAGTCAAATTTTGTGTGTATAAGGCTAATAATGTCCTAGAACTTGAAATTTTTATTTTAGAAATCAGCTAGCCAAGGTATTAACTGATCTTCATTTCTACATGTACTGATGAAATCAATTAAAAAAATAACTAGTATCAGAAATAAGTATTTACTATACAACCTGAAGTTTAAATTATGGGAAAATAAAGGAAACAGTAAAATTAACATATGACACCTTATATACACACATACATACATACAAATAAAACTTCAAAAAATAACAATTAATCAAATTCCTGGGAAATCCACTGAAAGCAAAACAAAAAGGGAAAACAAAGTTAAAGCAGATGCTAAAATGTTCACTAAAACTTCTGTACAAAGAATTTCTTATAAATCTACTTCAGTATAACATATTACTCAAACTTAATATTGTTCTGAATTATTTAACAGAAAAAGGCAAAACAAAAATCTGTAATTATGAATTCCAGTTAATGACATGCATATGGTGAATTATTTAGGGAACAGTATACTAGATATTTTGAATGTATCAAAAAAGAAGATGGATGGGTAGGATATGCGGTAAGTCAGTATAGTACATATTAATATCAGAATTTAGGTGATGGATGCATGGTTTGCACTATAAAATTCTTTCAACTTTGCTATTCCAAACACTTCTTAATAAAATATTAGGAGGAGAAAATCATTATCTGCAAGTTTATGTATTACTTTTGGCAATGCACAAATACAATTTAGAACATAATTTTATTACTTTCCTCTAGACTATACCTTTCATTGTGTTGTACAAAGTGATAGTTCATATAATTAATATATGTTCACAGCCATATTTCAATGAACTTAAGAGTCTGATCTGATTTCATTAAATATTTTCTTTTTAGTCCACGTAAGAACAGGGGCTTACATGTGTCTGATCCAATTTCAACTCAAAATAAAAGTCTCATGTATTGGAGGTACACAGTATAAAGAATTAACTGAAAGAAAAGTCTGGCATGGAGTATACTAGCTATTCCTCTGAACAAATTTAATTAAAAAATCCTAAAACACGTTCCCTAGCACATTTCAGTTTCCCAAAACCAAAATGCCAAGAACATTATGTAACTTGCCCTCACACCTCAGAAACAAGTTATAAGCAATCAGACCAAGCCTTAGATTTTTACCACCTCCCTCACTGGAACTTAAACCCAAATCTATTACCTGAAAGAATGAAAAATTATAGTAAATGTTTGAGATGCTTTTCAAAGGTGTTCCAAGGGCATTTATATTTAATGAAAAGCAGGTATATAGATTCTATTTGCCAAGAAGTACTTTGAATAAAGTCACCTCAAACTAAAAAAATAGAGCAAACACAAATTTTAAAACCTAGGTAAATTCCTAGAAGGAAATTACATAAGAAACATTTATTGAATCAAACCTATAATGTTCTCTACACTACACTCTTAATCTCCTTACAATTTTAAGGGAAATGTATGATTCTTTTATTTATGATAAATATAGGAACTTCTTTTTATTAATTTTTATTCAAAAGCTTTTATTTATTCAAATGAAAACCCTACAAAGTTACCGTTACTACTTAAAATATACCTTTAGAAATGCCTGATACTCAACCTTGTCAAAGCAGCTTACAAATAATATTAAAAGCAAAACTGAAAATATCTATATGGTGCTCAGATTATCACAGAAATACATAATGAATGAGTCAGTAGTTTGGGATGTGCCCAGGAAGCTTCTAATGAAAAAGAAATAGACTCCATGCAATGATATTTATTTAGGGAGAAAACCTGTTATTATGGAAAAGTTTTATAAGACTGTCATCTTTTTACCCTCTGAAAATGCTATAAAATATGCTAATCAATAAGGATTGTTTAGAAAGCTAGTCATTCTCTTTTCCTACCATTTTAATACCTACAGCTTATGTGCATATTACATTTTCAATCAGTTTATTAACTACACATAAGATACAATACTAGATGCAAATATACAGAGGCTGTGTAAGGCAATGTTCAATTTAACACTGGTCAACAAGTGAGTATATCGGAATTTAACAACCTCACTGCAATCTTCTAGATCACACATATTTTACATAAAACCAAGTACTTGGCTTCTATTATTATGCACACCACACTCCATTTTAATTATGACATTCATCTAAAAGAAACACATGGAAACAATTCAAAACTATGTTAGTTATTAGTTCTGGTTTGGTCCATTTATGCAATCAGGAAAGTATAGGACTTAATTAGTTGCTACCAAATTGAAGCAATGAAAAAGGTTAAAAATCAAAGTACTTAAAATTAAAATATGGAATTACCCCCCTCCCCAACACTAAAGGGACACAAAACAACAACTACTGTCCCATCAAGCAAAAGTGGAAAACAAACAGAGAGCATGTGTGTAACCTCACTTACCATCTTTTTGTTATTCTACTTCAACAGGTCAAGAAAGGTGAAGAGAGAGAAGGTAGAAGTAAGAGTCAGAAAAGGCCTACATAAAATACTCACTGAAAGTTTTAAACATACAAGCAATAAGAGACAAATTAGGTCGAGGTCAGATGCAGTACTACTATATTTTATGGAGTTAATAAATCAGGGCCAAATTAACATGGACAGTTATTACTCCTAAATGAAAGTTAACTTGTTAAACAATTTAAATATTCAGTTTTTTTAAAGTCTACCACCACATTTGAGCTAACAACACACAAAAATTATGTCAATCCACTAGGCATAGGAATTCCAAAAAAGTTGAGTTTCTTTAATTCATTACTGAATTTAAAAGCCTTAGTTAAGGAAAATAAATGATAACAGAAAAGGTCTGAACAGGTACAGGGTAAATTTAGAGTTGTTTTTTCAAGCTCTATTTAATCAAGTTAAATTTGACAAGACTTTCTTACTATTTGCTACTGGAAGAACAGATTAACTTGAAAGACTTAAAAGACTGAGCAGATTGAACAGAACGGACCCAACAGAACACAGAATAACAAACCATACAAGCAAATGCTATTGGGGAATTCCTTAGCAAAAATAGCTTAACAGAATATTGACTAGTTTCATTTTTATCTCTTGGTCTTTTTTTGGTAACAATTTATTTATTTATAAATACAAGAACTGAGGTCTGGGTGATTAGGCCAGAGGTGCAGGGGGTGAGAGGATTCACCAGAGACAGAGTGGGGAACAGAATAGGCAGAGTGACTGAAAATACACTGCTGAGGAGAGCAGCAAGCAAGACAGGAGAGGTCTGCTGTGCCATGTGGGTAGCTCCCTGGCGGGCTGGGGATTGAACTCGTGCTGCAGTGGCTGCGGATTGCTTCAAAGTGCTGTGTTTAACCCTTTGCACCACCAGGGAGGCTCTCTATCACTTGGTCTTAAAAAGCAAGAAAGTGGGAGTGAAAAGAGATAATTTTCTGTGTCTATGCTGAAGAATGAAAGTGGATCTATGTGATGTATCTTTTTTAAATCCTCAAGTATTACTGTCCATAAAGTACATAAAAAAGCCAATTTTCTTTGAAAGCCTGAGACTGATTAAAAAGTATGACTTTCAACTTCATTAAAAAAGTTTATTCTTAACAATATTAGCTAAACTTTAAATTCATTTATGATTGAATTCAATGAGAATGAAAGGAGTTCACAAAAAGAGAATAAAGAAACCCTGAAATTTTTCCAAAGAAAAGACCCTAAAAATAGCACTCTCATATTGAGAGTCCCATCTGATTGTAAAGTAACAGGCCAGATGATTCATTATCTTAAGTCTTCAAAAAAACTAACAAAGAACCTAAATTTTAGTTTGTATTTTTATTGTGTAACTCAATTCTCTAGTCTCAACAGCAGAGAGCTACCAAGTAGCAAATCTCTACCATCTATTGTCACCTATCTAGATATCTCAACCAAATGTCCCAAAGAGGTACACCCTATCTCATATTTCGAATGACTCATAAACCTAACAGTCTTGCCTAAGACTGTATACAGACCAACAATGCTAGTTTGTTCACAAATAATTCAGTAGAGAGCCCCTAAATTCAACGAGGCCACGTGAAGAATTTAAGTCAACTGCTAACCACTGTCTTTTTTGATTGTTTTATGCTTTTTCCCCTGAAGTATCATAAGTCCCAGATGATTTCCAATCCCTTTAATGTAGGGAAAAATGTATTCTCCTTAATGTTGAGTCTCTTATGGTAAGTACAGTGAACAGAAATGACAACCTGCCCTCTTCTCTCCTTGTGGTAAGATAAACAATGCAAGGTCAAATAAAAACTTGCATGGCTTTCTCCTGCACATTATGGAAATCAACTATTTTATTAGTGAAAAGAGGAACCAATCAGATTTGCATCTGTGTTTTCCTGACTAGTTATATTAAAAAGTAGAGGAACCAGGCCATGAGAACATCGAAAAGTCAGTTTCCAACTAACATAAAATGACAAATATATGGAATTGAAGGACATAAAATTCCTTTTAAAGATTATATCATGAACAGGACTCTATCACTAATACAGATATCATATCAATATAAAAATCTTAGTATTTTACCTCATTCAGAGAACAGTGGCATCAAGCCATACTTAAAAAAAAAAGTCAGATGAAATTAACTTTAGTTTTTTTTTTTTGTGCCTTTGGATATTGATGCAAGTTAAAATAAATTTTGCCCTTCCCTCTTGCTTGTCATGGCAATAATATTTTAAACCTACTTAAATCAAAGAACACCTCACAGTTTCGACCCTCATTTATCAGAAAATAAAATATTACCTTGATTTCAATGTTTCCCACTTTGGTGGTTGATCTGATAATAGGTCTTCCAACCAAAGCTGGGAAGATGTGTTCTGGGAAGTTAGAGCCTGCATATCCACACTTCACAAACTGGAAGAGAATAGTAAAAGTGGGTTAGTGTCAAGATATTACACATACCCATTTTAAAACATATGAAAAATACCGCTTTGCATTTATACAATATTTTAAACTTCTGGTGCTTTCAAACCACCCGATGTAGTTACCCAATGTTTTCTATTTTGTCTTTTTATTTCCTTTATGGCACTGACTGTTAGAGTTCATATTTACTTCTGGTTAACTACTTATTTAAGTCTCCCCACTTAGGGAAAGACTCAGAAGAGCAGGGAGTTAAGTTGAGCAGCTCGCCCTGGAGCTAATGGCTAGAAGAGGCTCTGGAGCACACAGTGGTCACACAGGAAGTATTTGAGACTGGACAAATTCACTCAACAAATGCTAACAATTTTTAAGAGAAATGTTAGAAAATGAACACAACTAAATTAAATTCTTTTTTTAAAAAAAGATTTATTTTTATTTATTTATACAAGCACTGGGTATAGTCAGAAGCGCAGGAGGGTGAGAGAATTCACCAGAGCCAGAGCGGGGAGCAGAACAGGCAGAAAGACCTAAGTACACTGCTGAGGGGAGCAAAGGGCGGCAGGAGAGGTCTGTGCACCATGTGGTACCCTCCTCTGGTGGCCGGGAAGCAGCCGGGGATTGAACCGGCGCTGCAGAGACTGAGGGCAGCTTCGCAACCCAGGGCTCAACCGCTGTGCCACCGGGGAGGCCCGAACTAAATTAAATTCTAAAGGAGGCTTTCATTCATCGCACACAATTCATTTAAGCAACTTCATTTTTCAAAATGAGAAAACCAAAAGGCATTGGAGCTAGCATCTTATTAAAATAAACATTTATTAGGTATTTTTGATATTTAGACTTTTACATGTCGATAAATGTATTTAGTAACACTAAGGAACATAATTTCATATTCAGATAGTGTACTTCTCCAAAGAGGGCATATCACTGATTCTGATTATACTTCCATTTTATGCATAACAAATTGATAGAAGATTAACAACTATAGTAACACTAAAAATAGACCAAGGGTTTTTAATTCTTATATGAATAACAGTCTGTTTAGTCTTATTTTGTAAAAGTGGACATGGCAAGGAAAAGGCTATTAAAAACCTGAGAGTAGGAAAGGGAGCAATATAAAAAGGAAATGTAATCAGGGTCTCTACCCTCCTTCTTAACAAATCTTTATTCAATTTAAGCCACACTGTGCAATGGTTTCTGTGTCAACTGATGAATCCCACTCCCAGAAGAGCATCTGGCACTTAGTAAGTACATATTAAATAACTGATGAATAAACATTAAAAGTTTTGCTGTGGGGCCTCCCCGGTGGCGCAGCGGTTGAGCGCTGGGTTGCGAAGCTGCCCGCAGCCTCTGCAGCGCCGGTTCGTCCCCGGCTGCTTCCCAGCCACTGGAGGAGGGTCCCGCATGGCGCGCAGACCTCTCCTGCCGCCTGCTGCTCCCCTCAGCAGTGTACTTCGGTCCTTCTGCCTGCTCTGCTCCCCGCTCTGGCTCTGGTGGATTCTCTCACCCTCCCGCGCTTCTGACTGTACCCAGTGCTTGTATAAACAAAACAAACAAACAAACAAATAAATAAAGAAAACATGCCTCTATATAAAAAAAAAAAAGAGTTCATTTAAAAAAAAAAAAAGTTTTGCTGTGGATTTGAGAGTATGATACTACAATTACTTTAACATAGAGAAATTTAATATTGAGTAAATGTCGATTGTTCCATTGTTCTGAGCACCATACCTTCTTTTAGAATTAATGAGAAAAGTACTATCTGTGACATGACAATACTAACACAAAGGTGGATGGAAACTATTAACCTACTGGTTGATAGGACTCCACTATGTACAACAAACTGGTATGCTGATAAAATTGAATAGTAATCTTAAACCTAGTGATTTTTTTTTAAATGTTTTTTATTTAAGTTGCTATTAAGTTTTTTTTTTTTTTTAAGATTTATTTATTTATTTATACAAGCACTGGGTACAGTCAGAAGCGCGGGAGGGTGAGAGAATTCACCAGAGCCAGAGCGGGGAGCAGAGCAGGCAGAAGGACCGAAGTACACTGCTGAGGGGAGCAGCGGGCAGCAGGAGAGGTCTGCGCACCATGTGGGACCTCCTCCAGTGGCCGGGGAGCAGCCGGGGATTGAACCGGTGCCGCAGAGGCTGCAGGCAGCTTCGCAACCCAGTGCTCAACCGCTGCGCCACCAGGGAGGCCCTTAGTGATTTTTTAAAAAGATTTATTTACACAAGAACCGGGGTACAGGCCAGATGTGCGGGAGGGTGAGAGGATTCACCAGAGACAGAGCGGGGAACAGACCAGGCAGACTGACGAGAAACACACTGCTGAGGGGAGCAGCGGCCGAGACAGGAGAGGTCTGCGGCGCCATGTGGGACCCTTGCCAGCCAGCCGGGATCGAACCAGCGCTGCGCTCAAGCTCAACTGCCTGCTCCACCAGGGGAGGCCCAAACTTAACGATTTTTGACTAACCCACCACAATAGAAAAATTTTTTATTTCAAAGATATCTATAAGTTTGTTGGAAATGATGTTGATGAAGTACAGCACATTCAGTTATAAATAGAGTAGAACATTTTGCCATCCAGAATTTCAAGTCTCTTATAAATAGAATTTTAAAAATATGTTAAAGTCATGACTTAAGCAGATTAGGCCATTTGAATGAAAAATCCGTTTGAAATTAGGAAGCTGCATATTTGGAATAGCATATCTTCTCTGGTCATATGTACATTTTAGAATCTATATAAAACATATTATTCAGGTATGTTTTATCCCAAACTCACAAAGTCCTGATCAGTTACCAATGAGCAACTAAGGTTTGAGCATTTTGCAGGTACAGCTACTAACCATTTTTAATGCTACATTATAATTTTTATTGGTTCAAGGCTGTTGTTAGTGTGATATGATGCATAGGCTACAGATAACTACTTCCCCATTTGAATAGTGCCTGACAGGTAAGAACCAGAATATGCTTTTCACCCTAAAAGAGTGTTAAACAGAGTTCAGACATACAAACTCATTTTCCACAGTCTTTTCAAATTATTTATCAATGTGACACAGAAGAAGTTAAGGGACAATGACCACAGAGGAAAAGAATATTACCTACTAGTAATATTACTACTATTCTTTTCTAAATCCTAAACTTTCTTTTGTCCTTAAATCAAAATACAGTTTACTAGATAAGAACTAGAATATATGGTAAAGGGAACCTCCCCTCAGTACTGCATACCCAGATAGCTATATAAATAAAAATTTATATGATCACCAGCCTAATATTATCATTAGTCATAATTTACATAGCTATTCCAAATATAGACAGTAAATACTATATGGATATTACATTCTTATGTTTTATCTCAAAATAATGAACAAATATGGACACTTGGCAGGAGGGAAATGTCCATTAGGCAGGCTGAAAGTCTCACTTACATGGGTATAAACATTAAAAAAAAAAAAAAAAAAAAAAGCACAGAATGGGGGCCTCCCTGATGGTGCAAGGGGTTAAGCACCGCTCTATGAAGCAATATGCAGCCTCTGCAGCACGAGTTTGATTCCCGGCTGGCCAGGGAGCAACCCACATGGTGCAGCAGACTAAGACTCTTCTGTATTGCCCGTTGCTCCCCTCAGCAGTGTATTTCAGCCAGTCTGCCTGTTCTGTTCCCCACTCTGTCTCTGGTAAATCCTCTCACCCCCCACACCTCTGGCCTATACCCCAGCTCTTGTATGCATAAATAAATAAATCTTTAAAAAAAAGAAAAAAAAGCACTAAATGAATGATTGCAAAAAAGAAACAAGTTTGTAAGGCTCATTTACAGCATATTAAATATAAACAAATGATTTAATTAAGTGAAAAATCGTAACAGAGTTTGAGGTAGGAGGACAAGCCTGGGATGGGGCATAAATCAAGCCCTGGTGCCAGGAAGAAACTGCTACCCTTGACATGTTTCCCCTCATTGTGAGACACACACGTGTATGCAGACCTACGGTACCAAATCTGTACATAATCACATCACTCAATGTTTTCTGGTTATAATTGTTCAGTTGGGTAATTTGTATCTCAAAATTCTTTTTTTTTTTTTTAAACTCTTTTTTTTTTTTTTTAATAGAGGCATGTTTATTTATTTATTTATTTGTTTTGTTTGTTTTGTTTATACATGCACTGGGTACAGTCAGAAGTGCGGGAGGGTGAGAGAATTCACCAGAGCCAGAGCGGGGAGCAGAACAGGCAGAAGGACCAAAGTACACTGCTGAGGGGAGCAGCGGGAGGCAGGAGAGGTCTGCGCGCCATGTGGGACCCTCCTCCGGTGGCCGGGAGCAGCCGGGGATCGAACCGGCGCCGCAGAGGCCGCGGGCAGCTTCGCAACCCAGCGCTCAACCGCTGCGCCACCGGGGAGGCCCTGTATCTCAAAATTCTTGTTTGAATATATTTTAAGAGGCAAAATATTTGCCAAATACCCAAGGCTGAGAGATTCCCTGAAACGATAAAACAATTGCAAATCTATTTCTGTGCTTCATAAAAAAAGGGAAATTTGGAAATTCAAATTAAAGGTATCAATAGCTTATTAATGAAATTATTTATTCTGCTTAATCAGTAACTTATTGGAAGCAGATGCTACCTCCTAATGTAGAGATAGCATTTCTACAGGGTATTAGATATTCAATCAAAGTGGAAATAACCATACCATTTCACATTATTTCAAATATGAATGTATTAAGAATTAAAATAGGAATTAAAATAATGTAATTTTCAAAAACATAAAATAGACAAATGGCATTTCTTTTCTTAAAAGGTCAGTATTTAAAAAGGTCTAAACCATATGATATGATAAAATACAAAAAAAACCTACCTCTTTTCTGAACTACTTATTTGGCATCATATTAATCCTTGAAATTCCTCCTCCTTCCCCCAATAATTTTAAGCATGGTAACTTAGCTCTCACTGTGTGCAATAAGGCTGTGTTTAAGAAATAGATTTTACCATATATAGTTCCTCTGC